TATTTAGTGATTAAGAACGTTCACCAAATCTAAATCAAGGAATCGGCGGATATTTAGTTCTTGTTCGAATCATATCCACTAAATCTCGCAACTCTTTACTAGCCTAACAAAGCTGTCGTATTCAAGGTTTGGAAGTAACGCCACGTATACAACGATATTTGGGGAGGGCAACAATGAAACGTTGCACAAAGGGGAACAAAGAGTAAAGACCGCTTTTTATAGTTAAATCCCTTGATAATCTTTTTGTCATTCTCACAAATCAACCCCATTAACTTATAAATTATAATTTTGACCCAACATTGGTTGTTTAAGAAATAAGAACTAACAGAGGAAGTCGATTTATATAATAAACTACTAATTTGTTCATGAATATTGACTATTTTAACGATTTATTAAGCTTTTAAGTAACACTGAACATTGTTTTGGTATCGATCAGATTAAAATCTGAATGGCCTAGTTCTTCAAGAAAAACATTTATAGTGGTGCAATAGAATATTAATAAATATATAGGGGTGTACTTGAAAAACCCAGTAGGTTAAGGAAAACATTTTATAAAATTAATAATAAAAAAAGGAGACAATAAAGAGTCGACCTTTGCAAGGTCAGCCTTTGCTCAATTTTGCTTGGAGAGCAAACACAAAGCTTTGAAGCTTCCACATTTGACGGCTACAGAGGGAGAAGAAGATAAATTCGATTTCTTTTCTCCTTTTCGTCATCTGGGTAACACAAAGCAAGACGAAGGAAGTCAACAATCTCCACACCATTTTTTAAGGTTAGAGACTTTTGCTTGTCTCCTTGATCTCCGCTTCTGTCTCAGTGGAAATCTCTCTTCTTTCTTAGCAATAAAGGCTTCAGATTTGTGGGTTTTCTCCTCTTCTCTCCTTGTCAGTTTTATGAGAGTTTGTGTTCTGTATTCTAAACGTTTGACTCTAGTTTTAGCAAATTATTTGATTTCTGGAGTTATAATCATTCTATTTTAAGATTTGAATGTGAATCAGATGGTGGATGTTCTAACAGAGGCTCAGTTTCTATTTTGGTGAATGCACAATGATTTTGAGCTAGTAGCTAGAACATGGGGATGCTCAAAAAGTATTATTGGTTTCATGGTGTGTTAAAAGGATGATACTTTTAATGAGAAGAAAAATGGATTAGTCTATATGGAACTATACAAGAGACAAAGGGTGACTTTTGGACAAGTGATGTACAGAGTTTCTTAGTTTAACTGTTAAGGGATTGAGAGGTGTATACATCTTTGTTGGAGAAGAGAGCTAGATGGCTGATAAAATGTGTGTTTTGTTTACTGCGTTTGGTGGCAACGTTAACATATATGTATATGGTGAGAGATGTGAGGTATTGTGTAATAGGTTACTAAGATAGTTTACAGGGTAATACTAATACCCTCTTTTGGTTTTATTTGGCTTTAGAATTGAATCTCTTGAGCCTCTCTGAGCTTGTGATTCATTTTTTTTTTGTTTCTTTGCAGACAATGATTCGTGCAAAGCAGATTAGTAATCTTTCCAGTACAGCAAGATCCTTTTTTCTTGGTGGAACAAGATCTAGTGCAGCTGATGGAAACTCTTGTACATCTGCTGACGATGAAAACTGCCTCTTGAGACGTCAGCAAACCAGAACTGAAGCTGTACAGACTGGGAAAAGAGCTTCGACTTTAGCAGCTGGACTAGCTGGCAATGTACTACCAGTAGAGGTAAAGGCTGAGCATTTTCACCGACCATCTCTTCTTCCCCAGCATGTTTCTTCTCCTGTTTTGTCGGTGAAACCAGATCCTGTAAGTCATGTTCCCGTTATTATTGAGGAAAACACGGTGGCTCCTATTGGTGATCAGATATTCAAGTCTGGTATTGGAACTGTGAAGTTCCTGTCGGATATAGCAAACTATAATATCCCTCTAACCGATGGAACTGAAGTCGTTGGTTTGTCTAAAAGCTGTATGGTTGACACTTCTCGGCCTATTACAAGTGTAAAGTCTTCAAATGTGAAAGTCATCAGAAGAGAGGATCTCTCTGAAGTCTACCCTAAGTCTACTTCCAGAGATTTATCAGAGGGAGTTACTAAGGAAGCTGAAAGATCTGGCTTAAGGCAAGCTTCAAGTGATGTGGCAGTGAAGCCTTTTGAAGGTCATGATTTACAGACAACAGCTGTCTCTGGAAAGAGGAAAAGCATGCCGCAAAGAACCAACATTGATTCAACCAGGTATGCATCAGGTGGTTGTGACTTTAACGTGCATTCTGATGAAGGTTTTAGTAAACCCTCAAGGGAAATGACTAGAGTGACACCAGGGACTGCTCCAACACCTAGGCAGCATTATAACTCTGGATACGTTGTAGAGAATGTTTCTAATATATTACGGAGATTCAAATGGGGACCTGCTGCTGAAAAGGCCCTTCATAATTTCGGTTTGAGGATGGATGCGTACCAAGCAAACCAAGTTCTTAAGCAGATGGATAATTATTCTAATGCGCTTGGTTTCTTCTATTGGCTAAAAAGACAACCTGGGTTTAAGCATGATGGCCATACTTACACCACTATGGTCGGTAACCTTGGCCGTGCAAAGCAGTTCGGCGAGATAAACAAGCTTCTCAATGAGATGGTTAGAGATGGATGTAAGCCAAATACCGTTACATTTAACCGGCTTATCCACAGCTATGGCCGTGCAAATTACCTCAGAGAAGCTATGAATGTTTTCAATCAAATGCAAGAGGCTGGGTGTGAGCCTGACCGTGTAACGTACTGTACTCTTATAGACATCCACGCTAAAGCTGGTTTTCTTGACATTGCCATGGACATGTATCAGAGAATGCAAGCAGCAGGACTCTCTCCTGATACTTTCACATACAGTGTCATTATAAACTGTCTTGGAAAGGCTGGACATTTACCTGCGGCACATAGGCTCTTTTGTGAGATGGTTGGTCAAGGATGTACTCCTAACTTGGTCACATTCAACATCATGATAGCTTTGCATGCCAAGGCAAGGAACTATCAGAGTGCGTTGAAGCTCTACCGAGACATGAAAGTTGCCGGGTTTCAGCCTGACAAAGTGACTTACAGTATAGTTATGGAGGTGCTTGGGCACTGTGGATATCTAGAGGAAGCAGAGGCTGTTTTCACTGAGATGCAACGTAAGAACTGGATTCCTGATGAACCTGTTTATGGTCTTTTGGTTGACTTGTGGGGAAAAGCTGGAAATGTGGACAAAGCTTGGCAGTGGTATCAAGCAATGCTTCACGCTGGTCTGCGACCTAATGTTCCTACATGCAATTCGCTTCTCAGTACTTTCCTTAGGGTTCACAGGCTGTCTGAAGCCTATAATTTATTACAGAGCATGCTTGCGCTTGGTCTGCAGTCTTCTCTGCAGACATACACATTGCTCTTAAGTTGTTGCACAGATGCTCGTTCAAACTTTGACTTGGGATTCTGTGGCGAGCTAATGGCAGTCTCAGGTCATCCGGCACACATGTTTCTCCTCAAAATGCCACCTGCAGGAACCGATGGCCAAAACGTACGTGACCACGTCAGCAACTTCCTTGATTACATGCACAGCGAGGACAGAGAAAGTAAGCGTGGGCTCATGGACGCAGTAGTGGACTTTCTCCACAAGTCAGGTCTTAAAGAAGAGGCAGGCTCGGTGTGGGAAGTGGCTGCATTCAAGAATGTGTATCCTGATGCGTTGAGGGAGAAAAGCTGCAGCTATTGGCTTATAAATCTCCATGTGATGTCAGAAGGAACTGCAGTGACTGCACTGTCTAGGACACTTGCATGGTTCCGTAAGCAGATGTTGGTTTCAGGAGAATGTCCTTCAAGGATTGATATAGTAACTGGTTGGGGAAGACGGAGTAGGGTCACAGGCACTTCAATGGTGAGACAAGCGGTTGAGGAGCTGCTCAACATGTTCAACTTCCCGTTTTTCACTGAGAATGGGAACTCAGGGTGTTTTGTTGGATGCGGAGAGCCTCTCAAGAAATGGTTGCTTGAATCATCATATGTTGAGAGGATGCATTTGATCTAGTTGTAGATTAGTTGTGTTTTTGTTTTTTTTTTTCTATTTAAAAGCCTATTCAATTATTAGACTTTTTGGCTAGTCTCAGTGGCTTGGTTTTGTATGTCATAAGGTTCCAGGTTTAAGGTTAGTGATGGCTGGAATTTTGTCTCCAGATTTATGTTATCATGTTGGACATTATCTCCTCTTGCAATGGGTTGTAATGGGAGTATATAAAGCAATCTTTGAGGGTGATTAAGACCCGAATTGATTAGTTATCTGGAATAGTTTGCTGTACGTGTTGTTTTGTACAAATATCAAATGTTACAAATTGTTTTCTTACGAGCCATAACGTGAAAAGGAGCCTTGAATTGAGACATGCTTTGTTTTAGTGGAGATTTGTAAATATTTTAATCCAAGGTATTATAATGAATTTTGATTTTAGTTGGAGACATTTTTATAAGGTGTGAGTTAACTATTTTCTAAAACTAAAATTTTAAACTAATTATTTAAGAAAATCAAAATTTAGTTGGATGTACAAATCTTGTTCCCACTGTTGTTGTCCTAACTCGTGTCTGCCATTGATTTTTCCTAATTTGTATCTGTCAAAAATTTAAAATTGAATCAAAACTTTTTAAATTCAAACAATTCAAACAGTTTTTATATCTTTATCCGGATACCAAAACCTATTAAAAAAAAAATTCGAACTGAATTGAAAAACTAAATCCCCATGTTTTTCATTTTTTGATCAACTAAATGCTCATGTTCATCAAAATTTAGCAAAAAAGAAAAAAAAAAACTAAATGCTCATGTTTACAAAACAATATGGGGAGAGATAACAAAAAAAACCTAGATTCACATAATCATTCAAATCAAGACTACTAAACCTTCAATAAGATAAATGGGCCGATTCTAATATTTTCCAGCCCATTAAGAATAATAGAAAATATATATATATGTGTCTTTTTTCGAATAAAATAACATTTCGTAACGTGTACGCCTCTCCATAAACTCTCTTCTTTATTTTTTTTGAAAAACACTCTCTTTTTTTGCCAGCGACGGCGATGGAGATCCTAAGGACGAAATGGGTAGCCATGGCTGCCAGCATCTGGATCCAGTGCACAAGCGGCGCTTCCTACACCTTCGGAATCTACTCCGCCGCTCTCAAATCCACCCAATCCTACGATCAATCCACCCTCGACACCGTCTCCGTCTTCAAAGACATCGGCGCCAACGCCGGAGTTTTCTCCGGCCTTCTCTACACTTACGTCACCTCAAACCGCCGCCGTGCACGTGGCGGCGGAGGCGGAGGCGGAGGCAGTGGAGGTCCTTGGGTGGTGCTCGCTATCGGAGCGATTCAATGCTTCGCCGGTTACTTTCTCATGTGGGCCTCCGTCACCGGGATAATCAGGAAGCCGCCGGTGGCTTTGATGTGTCTGTTTATGTTTATAGCGGCGCAGTCGCAGACGTTTTTTAATACGGCGAACGTTGTGAGTGCTGTGGAGAATTTTGCTGATTATGGTGGAACTGCCGTTGGTATCATGAAGGTGAAGAGGCTTTTACTGTAGCTTTTTAGTTACTCTCTGTGTATAAATATAAATAGTCCCACTCAGCGAGGGTTGAACCCGGGTGGCGGAGTGCCTACTAGACACTCCTTTACCACTAGGCCAACTGGTAGAACTTGTAATGGTTGTGAGAACTATTTTGTTGGTGTAGAACTGTAGATAATGTTCTGTTGATTCAATCTTGGTGGGAATCTTAGATTTTGGTAGAAGTTTGGAGTGATTGTTGGGTTATGTTTTTAGTTTTGGTTCATTAGGATAAAGGTTATGTCTTTGATGGACTCTGTTCGGTAATATATGGTGTTTGTGCTCTGTTTGGTTTGTTAATGGATCATAGTGAAGAAGCCAAGCTTTATCTCTCCTTATTAACTGGCAGGGTTTTCTTGGTCTAAGTGGGGCGATACTGATTCAACTGTACGAGACTTTGTGCGGTGGAGATCCGGCGAGCTTCATTCTTTTGCTGGCTGTAACACCAACAGTTCTCTCCCTTTTGGCCATGCCTTTGGTTAGGATCTATGAGACAAGCGTAGCTGATGATAAAAAGCATTTAAATGGTCTTTCAGCTGTATCTCTTGTTATTGCAGCTTATCTTATGATTGTGATCATTCTGAAGAACACTTTTGGTTTGTCGTCAGTGGCCAATGTTGTCACACTTGTATGTCTCGTCCTTCTCCTTGCCTTGCCTCTCTTTATTGCGGGAAGAGCGCGTCGTGACCGCATGGAGAAAACAGTGTTGCCTGATAAATCCCCTCTCATAAGCAGTCCAAAAGCTACAACCTCCGTTAACCAAAGCTCTGAAGACGATAGTCTGAGTGAGAACATGAATCTTCTGCAAGCTATGAAAAGCCTAAGCTTCTGGTTGTTGTTTCTCGCCATGATCTGTGGAATGGGATCTGGACTTTCAACAATAAACAACATCCGACAAATAGGTGAGTCTCTTCGGTACTCATCCGTTGAGATAAACTCACTGGTCTCCTTGTGGAGTATATGGAACTTTCTTGGTAGATTTGGAGCCGGTTACGCCTCAGATGCAATGCTTCACAAGAAAGGATGGCCTCGTCCCTTGCTAATGGCTGCAACTCTTGGAACGATGACCATAGGCCATCTAGTCATAGCCTCTGGTTTTCAAGGCAACCTTTATGTCGGTTCTGTTATAGTGGGCGTTTGTTATGGATCACAATGGTCACTAATGCCTACAATCACCTCAGAGTTATTCGGAGTTCGTCACATGGGAACCATCTTCAACACCATATCCATAGCCAGTCCCATCGGTTCGTATATCTTCTCTGTAAGATTGATCGGTTATATTTATGACGAGACTGCTTCTGGGGTAGGGAACAAATGTTTTGGCTCTCACTGCTTCAGGCTGTCCTTTGTTATAATGGCGTCTGTTGCGTTCTTTGGGTTTCTTGTTGCTATAGTACTCTTCTTTCGAACAAAGTCGCTTTATCGACAGATCCTTGTGAAGAGGCTGCATCGTCGATAGGATACTTGTGAGTTGTGAATATGATACATACGGGAACGAATACAGGGGTTATGATACCCAGAGGTACATCATTTACTTTACTTATGCAAGTTGGCTGTAACTTGTGTTTTTATCAATCGTCTGTGGAAGAAAGAAGACTGGGATCTTTGTCTCCCTTTTTTTTCTGTAGTTTCTTCCACAATTGTGAATTTGTTTTGTGAAGTGTATACACATCCCCTTCGAATAAATGTTGAAATTACTCTTTAATGGAGAACTTGGAGACGGTTACTTGCTTTACTAAGTTCAAACCTACCAAGCAGATCAGGTAGAAAGTTTGCAAGACTTCATATGAAAACGTTTGCGGAATCAGAGTTAGAGATAGACGCCAATAAACCCACCAATCTTATGTAGCCATGGAGAGTCCTTATAAAGGCCACAAAGGCACAAACTGTTTCATACTCTGATGGCTTTGTTAGTGTAGCCATGGAGAGTCCTTATAAACTGTTTCTTGCTCTGTGCCAATGTCGTGAAAGTCGAAAGACAAAGAACCAAAATTTCCATTTAGATTAAGAAATGAGTTTATACATATGAAAATAAATGAAATGATTCACAAACAAAGTGAATAAACACTAAGATTATGTACTTCTTTGCCTACTCTTCTCTCCATTTCTTCTACAGATTAGAAGGCTGCAGACCAATCAAATCGAAGTCCAGCAGAGTCTCTCTATGGTGAGCTTGCAAAATTGGTTCCTTAATTTGCCTAGTCTTTCTACAGCACGCTTGAAGGCATATTATATCTCGGAAAACATAGCTGTTTCCCTCAACAATCATCACATGTTACAACACTCTGGCTTGTTCTGTCTTAAGAGCTTGTCCCATAAGCATATCATCTGTCTTGGCGACTGGTAATGAGCTGTGTAATAGTTCTCAACACAACCAAACTGGCAAAATCTCAGACTGTGTCTGTAGTCAACTGGGTTTGATGTGTTTTTGAAATGCTCCACCCACATTCCCACACTCACATCCTCCATCTTAAACAACTGGTGTATGTGAACATCAACAAAAAAAAAGGATATACTAAGAATGACAGGTTATACAATTAGTTATGATTATCTCTTCTGCTTACCCGTAATCTGTGTCTCTCAAACTCTTCCACAATGAAGCGTGCAATGTCAGAAGATAGAACATATCCAGGTCCATTTGCATAGGGCGGATAGTCTTCCTCTGGCCATTCCTGATATATAACCAAACACTCAACACCATTTTACTATATCATGCAAGTGTTATGCAGAAGAATGTATGTACCTCGTAAGTGACTGCCCATTTACCACCACGGAGAGGTTTGTGGTAATAATTCATGTTACCAATGTACAAGCTTCTACCTTCGGGTACTTTCTTCACTTCATTGATCACTGCGCCAAGTTTTACAAATGTATCATCGTCACACTTCATTATGTACTTTGCAGAGAATGCAAGAGCCTGCACCAATCAAAGTCATTTGTTTTCAACAATCAAGAACGATTATGTGGAAGTATGTACTATAAGATCTGATAACTCACTCCGTGTTCACATATAGCAACAGTTTTCAGCACGACAAGATCATAGCTATCCATGTAAGGAACAAGTACAATGTCCCCAAAATACTCTGCTTCTTTCTTCAATTCCACATTCACCTTCTTCCTCCCATGCTGTTGGAATTCACATCACAGACACAATAAGATACTTAAATCATGTCATCAAACCTTCATGACTTATACGGGATGAACAATGTTAAAATCACACTTACGAGTGCCACAAAGAAACGAGCAACAACTTTTGAAGATGTAATAAGAACATGCTGCATCCATGACTTCCTCACAGCCATCCGTTCTCCGAAATGATTCCCTGCGGAAAGAATCCCAATAAAAAGCTCCACAGGCCCATCTGGAACTAAAGGGGCCTGCCATCTCTTTGACAACTCGAGATGCCTTTGGGGAGCAAAGCTAGGATGTGATGTTGGCAAAGAGGCAACAACAACAGAGTGAACATCAATGTCTCCATTTACTGTAAGACCCGTTGCATCCTCCAGTGTGAAACCCTACAGAACCAACCAACTCAATGCAAACACAATGATGTAGAAACTGAGTATGATATATATATATATACTCACAGTGCGATAAGGGAAAGATGTAAGATGCTGTCCATCAACATTAATATGGTAACCTTCTAAACCAGCGCTAAGAGTGAGAACAAAAAGCTTCTCTTCCACAAAAGGAAACGGCCATTCTACTTTAACTCTCTTCCTCCGTCCTATAAGTCTATTCAACCACCATCTTGCCCTAGACCCTTCTGAGTAGTTATCATCATCACGGATCCACTTCTCACACTTCACATGACTATCAACTACAAAAACAACACTAAACCACATTACTCAAAACAGAACACAAAACAGATTACACACTTAAAAACTAAACTCTCACCAGTCTCTTCCTCATCTCTTGACCTCCACCCTTCACACCGTTGTGAAGAACCCCACTGCATTCTATAACAAGTGTTCTGCTCAATCACCGGCTTTCTACTCCAATCTCCTTTCAACCTCGGGTTAAAATGCAGGATCCGAGGAGGATCCTCTCCATCAACAGTCTTCAAACCTTGAAGCTCAATAACAAACTGAGAAACCAACTTAGTAGACCCATCACCTTCCTTGGGATGACTCTTCCTCGGCCTCCCAACTAAAGTCACGTGCGAACCCAACGTCAAACCACAAGGAAGCTCCATTAACTGATTCTCCCGGTTCATAAACTCCAACCCGGTTAACGAAACAGAGTGTGGACACGTGTCTGTTTTGTTCTTATTCTCAGGCTTCTCCACTGACTTCTCAAGCCTCCCTGACTCAAGCTCCTTCCACAGCTTCCGACCTAACTGCCAAGCCTCCTTAGCTGACTTGTGAAGCTCCACTGACCCGTCTTTACTACTCGGGTCAAAAGTTTCCGAATCGAATCTAAGGCTCGAGAGAAGACCTCTGTGATGCTCACGGACATTACCCTTCTCCGTCCGGTTAACGCCCGGTTCAGAATCCGGTTTAGATGGTGGGTTAGGGATTATTGTCTCCACTTGAGGCTCTTGCTCTGTTTCGAGCATTGAAAGGGAATCGATGGAGACAGAGGAGGAGGACCAGGATTTGAAAACGAGAGGTATCTCGACGGTGACCATTAGGAGATAGAGAAGCCCTATTGCTATGATCACACGGAAAGATCTCTGCTTCCATAGTGACGAGAAGAGATCAAGTTTGTCGATTTTTTCGGCTTTTGATGATGATGATTTGGGTTTCTTCATTTTTCTTGGGAGACAAGTAAATGAAATGGTAAAAGGACGTAACTTTGGATGGAGAGGGATCCGAGAGTGGTGGAAAGTTTGGAGCTTTGTTTTAAGAGAAGGAAGATAAAGCAGAGAGGAGGAGGATGATGGAGAAGGAGAAACAGAGAGATCTTGATTCCTTTTTGGAGGCGTATGTTAGTATAATTATTTTCTTTATTAATTAATTTTCCTTTTTGAGATTTAAATATCTTAACTTTTTGTATTTATTTCCCTGAAATAAATGGCTTTTTCAGCAACATTTTATAGCATCTTTAATTATCGTGCAGAATACACAGATAGATAGTAAAGATTCTTCCAAGTTTCAATGGACATACGAATGTATATGTACATGTTACACGTGTGACATAAACCCATAAGAATATTTGTTGATGATATTTCAACAAATTTCATAAAATAGTAAAGTAAATGAGATGGATTTAAAAAAAAAAAAAACTCATAAATTAAGAATTTTCTGGTATAGTTGACATTTCTCTTGTTTCAATGATTGATATTTTACTTTACGAATCAGTGCTTTATGTTATGGAACAAATGTTTATTTCTGAAATGACATAAAACGAAAAATCTCCAACATTTGTTAAGATTTCTATTGTAAAAAGAAAAACAAATAAAAAGACAGCTCATTTATTCATTTAAGGGAATTTCATAAGTGCTTACATTTTTTTAGAGGAAATACTGAAACATTGGTTTTAATTAGTTAACTTAGACCTGAGCATGTTGATTGTTTTACCATCAGTCTTAAACACCTTCATCAAAACCTCGTCCGAAATCGCAGGTTGCGCGAGAAACAAAGTGTGCGGCACAAGCACCTCACTAGGCAACTCACTAGCCACCACAGTCAAAAGACGAGCTTCTGTTTTCCCAACGTTCATCTCGTAGTGAATGAGTCCTGGAGGGATCACAAACATGTCACCAGGACCAGCAACCTTTGAGTACAACGTGTAGTTATTCGTCAAGAACCCAATCAAGACCGAGCCTTGGGTCACGACCCCTGCCTCGGTCACACCAGGGTGCGAGTGAGGCGGGTTAGCTTCTCCTGCAGCGAGTGCAACGTTGTACATGGATATTCCCATCGTGTTTAGTCCTGGAAACGTCATCAGGGTTGCTCTATTAGCGGCTACACCTTTTGGGTTTGAAGTGTTTAGTGGAGTGCCTAAGCCGGAGTAGAAGAAGTCTTCTGAGGTGACTTGTGACTTGCATGGGTAGCCAGTGTTGGTTGGGGTAGCTTGGAGATCAGCTACACAGAAGTCTTGTAAGGGGTTAAGGTAGCCTGATAGGGCTGGATTGGTGAAGAGAGTGATGCATAGTGCAAGGAGGACTGAAACTCTAGAGAGAAAAGTAGCCATTGCTAGGGAGTGATGATGATGATGTTAAGTCACCATGGTTACTGTTGATTATATAGCCTCAGAAATTTGGTATTCTTGGACTAACCCTATAACCAGATTGAATCAGAATAAGATGGGTTTAAGGGAAACAAAAGAAAGATTGAATGTTTATGAATGTTGGGCGTATTGGTGTAATTTTTTTTGTGGTTTTCAATTGGGCTGATGGAACCAGAAGTAAGTTAGGTTTAATTGCCTTGATGTACATGCAATCACAAATAGACTAAAGAAAAGACCAAGCAAACCTATATTCCCTAACGAAATAAGTACTGTATTGTTTGGTTATGATAACGTAACTAATTAAATAGTCTCAGTTCAATATTTTTTTTTGTTTCCGCAATACATCTTCTAGGTTTGTTCATGGACCAAATCCAAAACGCAAATACATGAAGAAAAACTTTGTTTGCCATGAAAGTTAGTACTACCAAAGTGTTGGTGTTTTTTTTTTCTTTTTCTTTTTGACATCTGTTGGTGGTCTTGTAGTGTAATGTGAGAAAGTTGGTTCTCTTGTATCTCGGGTTCAAACCTATAATTAGGCTGCAGCGTTTCAGATATCGGTTCGATTCATTTAGGATAGTTCGGGTAGGGAGTTAGAAGATCCATTTACAACTTGACCTATTTTTGATTCGATTCGGTTCGGATAGTTTCGGGTTCGGTTCGGTTCGGATAATAAAACTAGGAACCAGAAAACACCTGGAAAATTCGATTTTCATTTGGTTCCGGTTCGAGTTCGGATAGTTCGGGTAAATTATCGGTTATTTAAGATAAAATATCAAATAATTAGAACGATTTAGATACAAATTATGGATATTATAGATACAAATTTTGGATATTTCAGATAAAATTATCTGTAGTTCAGATACTCTATAATTATTTAGTTATTTTCAACTATTTTGGATGCTTTTAATAAACTTTTAAACTAAAATCATATATTTAGTTATATTATATGTGTATAAAATTAATATTATCATATATTCGGTTATCCATTCGGTTCTCGGTTCGATTCGGGTTCGATTCGGTTATTTTGAATATATAAATATAAGAACCGTTCGGATATTTGAAGGTCTCGGTTCGGTTTCGGTTTCGGTTTTGGATATTTCGGTTCGATTCCGGTTTTTTTTCCCAGACCTACCTATAATGATAAGTTATTTTTATATTGAAATTTATAAAACTTATTTCGAACACTATGAATCTAAAGTGAAAAACTTTCAGGGCAATTTTAAAAATTAGGCTAGAGAATATTTAGCGATCAGTTTTCTTAAAATATTTAAATATTATAAAGAAAGTCACATATAAACACAATAAACAAATTTGCGTTGATTTCAACCAATCAGGTCCAAATATTTATTCAATTCATCTGGCAAGTAGCTTCATGGAGCAATTCTGAAACATTTTAGTGACTAAGAAAGAATAAGATAAATGTTTTGAATTTAACACAAGGCGTTGGAAGCGTGCGTGCGTGATCTCTAAGAAACAATATAAACAAGTTCATGATTCTGAGAATGATTCTGAGAGCATCTCCAACCCCACTCCATTTGCCCTAAAAACTTGATTCTTCAGATTCACAAAAACCTATTTTGATCAATTCCTGCTCCATTAACAGAAAAAACTGTAACATCAGAGACTGGTTTGGTTTCTTGGCAATCATCATCCGCACTGACATTGCCGTGTTTCTCAAGAAATGCTTCTCCCTCATCATTTTAATCCGTTAAACATCCATATGTCTCTCTTTGTAAGCCTCAAGTTCATCTTCAAGCTCCTTAATCTCCTCTTCCTTCTTTTCCAAGTCACTACTCATAGACTGCAAAGCTTCTTGTTCATCCATCATTCTTTGGCACTGCAAAGCCACCATCTGAACAACGGCTTTTTTTGGCTTGTAACCTCGTGATCATAGCTATTGAGTTGTTGGCTGCAATAATTGAAGCACTTCTCTCTTCATCTAGCTCCATTTACAAATCTATCAGTGACTTCTTGTCCAAGCGAACCTCTTTCTTGAGCTGATGAAGGATGGATTCATCGTTTGAATCACCCATGCCAGAAGGGAGTTTTCTAAGAGGAGTCCCAAAGAAAATGTTACCTCCTCTTACAACACTCAGTGTTCTGTCCACATCCAAAACCCTAAACTCATATTCATTCTCAGACAGCTTGTTGTAGGGAACCCTTGGAGAAGGAGCAGGAGCAAGGAAAGAACTGTTGTTCTTCAAACACTCTCCGCAACAAGAGCAATGTTGTTTCAAGCTAATGTTGCTGTTGCTTGTCTTGTAATCTATTAGGTTTATTGTTGTCTGAACGAAGTTATGGTCTTTCTTGAGCGCCAAGGGGAGCTCTCTTTCATCATCAATGAGAAGCTCAAGATCTTTGTGTAAGATTCCTTCTCAGTGGCGAAAGAAAAAAGACAGCCTTCACACATATGTTTGATCTCAGAGAGTTTCTTGTGGATAGGCCTGCGACTTCGGTTTTCCGAAACCGAACCGAACCGTCGGTTTTCTGTTAACCGAAATTTAAAAAAGAAATTCCGAAATAAACCGAATGAAATTTCGGTTCGGTTCGGTTCGGTTATCGATTTATTTCGGCTTTCAATTTTATTTCCGAAATAACCGAATTTTTAAGTTTTCGGTTACCTTTGGTATAATTTTTCCAAAATATTCGGATATTTTCGGTTAAATTCGGTTATTTCGGTTAAATTTGGTTATTTTCGGGTTATTCGGTTATTTTCGGTTTGGTTTTTCGGTTATTTTTGGATATTTTCGGTTATTTTCGGTTTTTAATATTTTTAATTTATTTTTTTGAAAATCAAAAACCGAACCAAAAACCGAAAAAAACCAGTTCGGTCCGGTTCGGCCCATTCGGTTCGGACAAAAATCCCAGGCCTACTTGTGGACATGGCAATAAGCAAGAGAAGAGACTTTCTTCTTGTGAGAGTCGCAGATTGAGTCGTTGTAATAGAAATTAGGGTTTCTATGGACGAGAACGTGCTCGATTCTGGTGCAGAGGAGACAAGGAGTGTTGAACTCGAAGAATCTGGCGTATTGGTTTGATAGGAGTCGTGTAAATTTTGCAGCTTAGACGTGAGGAGAACACTTTCGTTGACACTTAAACTGAATACAACCTTGCACGACCGAAACAGAGAACATGCCAACACACACACACACACACACACACACATGAAATCTACATATCTGTATGATGTTGTTTGATTGGTTGATTCAACAATGGGGATTATGTTATGTAATTAGAAGACTATTTGCTTACTCTGTTTTGTACCTGATCATAAAAAGATAATGACATTATTCAACGAATACTACAATATCATATACTTGGAAAAACAGTCCTTATTATGAGCATCAGGATCTAAAAACTTGCATATATCAAAACATAACGACATCTTTTCTAATTGTAAACAAAAGAAAAGAGAGAGGAGATGCTCAAGCTGCTCAAACATGAACCCTAGATTCTAGTTTCATTCGCTTGGAAGATGGTGTGTCATCATCATCCAGAGAGGAAACACCACGAGTGTTGTTTTGTAGGATTCTGTTAGGACAAGAGTGTTTGGCTTTATGTTCTTCTTCAGCTTCAACACTTCTAATTATAAGTTCTTTTAACCGCTTCACGTCTGCTAATCTCACAGGTTTTAGCAGGAAATCCTCTGCTCCTTCTGTCATACATCTACAAGAAGAAAAAAAAGAGAACAATACCTAAAATCAGATTACAGTGATTGAGCCTCATTACTTCAGTTTGTATGGTAATAATAACATATCACTTACTGTTCAATACGAGGTTGTATATTCTCAGAGGACATTATCACTACTGGTACCTCTCTAAATGCAGATGACTCCTGTTAAATAAAAATAAAACAACAGTGTTTGTGTAAGCAAGCTTCATTAGCCAAAAAAAAAATCTCATAAATGAAAAAAAAGTAAACTCACTTTGATCTTCTTGAGTAGTTCATATCCTGTTAGTCCCGGCATAGAGTAATCTGTCACTATCAAGTTCACCTTCAAATCCTATAATCAACATTTTCAGAACTGTTCATGTAAACCGCATCCAAAGCAAATCCACAAAGCTTAATTTTCAAGAAACTTACAACAAAGTTTAGGTTAAAACTTGTAATCCTCATTGTTCAAATCTTAAGTGGTTTCTTGGGAGCCAAACCAGAAGAGAAAACAAGACCAAGTTTTTTTTCTAAAATCTTGAAGAAACAGTACCTTAAGATCAGAAGATCCATCATCTCCATCTAGGCCAAGATACTGAAGAGCCCTAGTCCCACTCTCAACGGTCGTCACTGTATAGTAAACAAACCCCACAATCAAGAAGAGACCACAACCAAAGAAAGAACAAAAGAAAGAGAATTGAAAAACGTTTTTTGCCTCTTTATTACCTTTACAAGCAGAGATCCTAAGCAACCTCTCTATAACCTTACGATCAACAAGACTATCATCAACAGCCAAAACATGCAACTCCGTGGAAGAAGAAGAAGAAGAAGAAGATAAATCTCCCACTGCCATTGTTCTCTCTTAGGAATTGAAAGTAGAAAAGAAGAAGATATAGATATATAAGGTCAAAGAAGGACACAAAAATCAATGTGAGAGGGAAGACGAGGAGTTACATAAATAAGAGAGAGAAATAAAAAGAGATGGTGATGTGATATAAACACACAGAGAAGAGAATTTTGAGGATCGGATCTTGGGAGGTGAAAGAAAATCTAAATAGATAGGTGGGATGTGTTTATGTCTTTGTCAGATAACGTAACATTGTGTCTTCACGGTCATAATCTTTTGAGGGTCCCAATCTTCTTTTTTATTTTTTTGATTTTACAATCTTTTGTCTGCTCTCTTCAATCTATATATGACAATGACAACTCTCCTCTGTAGTTTTTCTAAGTAGTAATCACAGTAACTACTGTCTATTAATAATGTTTGTTGAGTAATGTGTTTTATGTATTGTTCCTCGTTGTATTGAAGTTGAGGCCTTTATTCACCATGCTCAAAACATTCATGTCATTTTCTTTAGAGACATGCCTTTTGAAATTGTTTTTAGGCCCTGAAGAAAATATTAACAGTATATTTAGAGAAGTAGTGGTGTAGTTTTAAAAGTTAACAGTTCAATTTTATATGTTTAACGTTTCTTTTGAAGTTATAAGCATTAATTTAGAAGTTTCAAAGTTTAGATCTTAAATTGTATGTTTATTTTCAAAAAATTCTAAACTTTTAGATTTGAATAATATTGACTGCTTTACTTGCACATTTAAAATTGATACAGACACAAGTGCTTTATTATTATGTCATGTGACTTTTAGTAAAGATGATATGGAATCTGGTACAAATTTAAATAAAAGATTCATGGGACACATGGTATGAATCCTCAGGGTTGGTTCCCTTTCTTGAGTTATAAGATGATCTCGTCTTGAACACTGACGTTGAGTGTCTTGTTTGGAAGAACAATACTGCTGGTCACCACAACCTCGTCTTCGACTGAAACCGAGTCTCCTGAAACCAGTTATGTTTCAGGTTTGTTTTCTTTCTATAAGGAGAAAGAGAGACTACTCTCTTAAAAGGAAGTGAATATAAAAGCAGTTTTACCGAGAATAGTAACTCCAAGCTTGGAGTTGTAGACTCCCTCAGCCTATGATCAACAAAGTATAACTTTAGGTCCATGATTGTGTAGGAAACCAGATAGAAAACATTTAAAGGTCACACTCTTAAGAGATGAGCAGAAGAGAGAAACATGCCTGGACACGAGACCATCTCCCTATAGAAGATTTCCATCCAACAATTGCGTTAGTCACCACTGCATTTTCCTGTGCAAAACAAACAGTCACTGAAGAGAGTCAATCACGAGAGGAAACTTTGCTTGTATCTCTTTGAGTATAATAAGGCATACCATGATCTCAACGTTGTCAAGGATGATACAGCTGATAAGCCTGACACCAGGCCCAACACGAGCATTTGCAGAGACTGAGACGTTGGGACCAATCTGTTAAATAGACCAAACAGAATGTCTTTGTTTGTGATAAAAGTAGGAAGTTGATTCAACAAGGGGGACACAACCAGAGGGAAACTTACCTTTGCAGTTGGGTGTATTTTTGCAGAAGGGTGTATGTAGACATCACCAATCACTATGGCAGTCTTTGTTCCATCACCACTAGCCAACACTTGGGGAGAAGTCAACCGGAACTGGGAAAGGTAGAGTCCTGAGCACCTCAGTGACATTCTGCGCAAAAGTCATCCAATAAGTAAGAGCCATAACACTTTGATTCTCTCCTTGTTGCATCTTAAAAGAAGTGACACAAGGCAAAAGGCATACCCAGGAGATTTGATCTGCTCCCAGAAATCCAAAGTCTCATATGTATATAGCTGTTTCTTTCCAGCTAGAGGTGAAAGGATGTCTTGATCCAGTCTTACAAAATCTGCCGGGATCCTGTTTTTAAAGGAGTGAAAACTATCATCTTAAGAAGATGATTAAGTTTAAAGGCTATTCAGTTATGTAGGGAGAGACAGGTAGACCAACCTTGTTGCCGGTTGAAGAGCTTCAAAGCTGGAAACACGTCTCAGAGTTGCTAAGACATAACCAAAGGGAACAAGAAACAGAGAACAAAAGTGAGAGTTCCTATTACTTTGAAGAAGAGAAGAAAGCATATACATTATGTTGTAAGATCTTTGTTACTGCTTTTACCTGTATCTTTCCTTTGAGAGGAAACATCTCCTATGGCAGTAAAAATGTCAGGTGTAAATACATAAACACCGCAGTTAATACGGTCACTGACCTGAGTTAGTAGATAAAAAAAAGGTTAGAATCAAATCTTGGAAATGCTAAGGAGATGATTATCCTCTCAGTGATATGTACATACAAAAGTTTCAGGTTTCTCGGTGTAATGAAGCAGCTCATTGGTAACTGGATCTGCAACCAATTCTCCAAATTGGTTTGCTGATTCAGGAGAGACCTACACAACCAAAACACAGAAATCAAACTTTGATAACATCAACCAGAACAAAAACAAGACTTATCTTATTGCTCAAGCGCATACCTTGATCACAAGAAGAGTTCCAATTCCACCATATTTCCTATGAGCATCTGTGTAGTAAAATCATCAGAGAGTAAGAAAGATCTTCAAAACCAAGAGATGAATCTGCGGCTTAGAAAAAGAAAGTGGATACCGAGCATTTCAGGTAAGGGGAAACTGCAGCAAACATCACAGTTAAGCAGAAAGATATGAGACTGCAAGAATGTAGACACAAGAAGTCAGATGTGAAGAAGAAACACTTAGCTTATAAAACAGTTTAGCAGAGTAATGATTCAGTATAATAATAAGAAGAATCATTTGAGACTAACCGGGTCATCTTCCATGATTAGATTTCTAAAGTGATATAGCCCACCAGCTGAACCATGTGACTTGTCTTCTCGTAGATATCTTATATGCAGAAAACCAAAACAAAACAGAGAACAAAGATCAGAGCTCTACATAGATGAGCCACACTGATTCTTAAAACGAGGAGAGAGTTTTTCAAAACCTGACAGGAACTTTGAGTTCATTGGAGATGGCAGAGACATAAAGTGCGAATTCCCTTTCCTCATAGAAACCAACAAGATAGATTTGAGCTAAGTTTGGAATCTGCAGATATAATAAAAGGATGACATCATAATCAACATCATCGTCTATTGATCTAAAGTTGTGAAGAAACATACCTTTTTGCAAGCTGAGATAGGGTGATGCACCATTGGCTGTCCGGCAATAGGAAACAGAGGCTTTGGAATATTCAGGGACAATGGTCTAAATCGAGTACCTGTGTGGATCCCCAAGATTCAAACAGAATCAAAACATGTAATATTCAGACCAGAATTGACCAAAAATTCATAACGACACAACAAAGAAACGCATTGGATTCTGTTTGAGATAGATTTTCCTAGCGTTTGCTATTGTGGAGGAAAAGAGGAAAAGCAAAACATTTTTGAGAGGTTACCTTTGGTTGGACCACCGACCATGATCACAGCCACCACTTTCTCCTCCACTGTGCTCCCCATTTTTTCTCAAAATTCAGATCTCTAAGCGGCAACCTCAGAGTTCTTACACACTACTATCACCAATGTTCTATACAAAGCAGGAAGTGGGCACCGGCAAAATCAGAATTAAGACAACAACAAAACAACAAAAGATGTAATGGTCGGAGAATTTGACAAAGAAAGAGGAAAAGTTTTTGAGGTAGATCTAATCTGAAGTGTCACTAGCAAGCAAGCTGTGGTTGTCAAGAGATCTAAGGATAGCTTGTATGTATTGTCATAGTGATGGGTCCAAGTCCAAGTCACAACTTACCATTCCTTTCAAAGGATAAGCACCCCCACACACCGCTCTCTTCTCTTTCTTCTTTATCCTTTATCTTTACCTTTCAGATTAGTTTAAATCAGCTGTCCCATTTTTATTAGAGAATACTTTCATTAGTCCTAACGCTTTTTCTAAGCAAATACTCCCGTCTCTGAATTAGATGCCATGTGACTATGTGAGTTTCAAACTTTTAATGTGACTTGAAGGTGACATAAAATGGCGGAAGTTCCCTTGATATTGCTGCACAAGATCCACCAAGATAAAAAGGTACCTCAAGTCAATGCCTAAACTTTTTAGGGAAACAAACAAATCACCAAAGCTGACTTTATTCATTGACTTTAATTATACTTAAAAGGTTCCACAAATGGACACACTGATAGAAAAAGTATACAGATGGACAACACAGACAGCATTTGGATTCCCGTTTTCATTACAACGTATTCATCATTTAGCAGGGGGGTTTGTACCATCCCCATGGGTCGTTTGATGTGTAGAGTGTCACTTGCTTCACACTCAAGTAGTTATCAAGTCCCCTGAACATAACACACACAAGAAACCAACCAAAACGAAGACTTGTTCAGTACAACAAGCTATCATGAATTGAAGTCCTTAACAATAAGACTTGTGTGAGAATAAAGAGTATGTACCATTCTCCTAATTCGCGTCCAAACCCACTGCGTTTGACTCCACCCCATGGAGCTTGAGTAAAGCAAGGCTGTGAGCAGTTAATCCATACAATCCCAGCTTCAAAGGCCTAACACGAGTATTGATTTGAGTTATTAGATGGTATTGTGAGAGACTAAAAAGGAATCTGAAAATGGTTTAAGAAGCAGGTACTAACCTGGCTTACACGGTCGCATCTTTCCGCATCATTAGATATCACTGCAGCTCCTAATCCATAACTATCATTTATGAAAAAACGATTTTCAGTCACAAAAGATCTTAGCTAAGACAGAAGATTATAATACCAGTGAATGGATAGGATATTATCAGAAGAAACGCTATCTTACTGGGAATCATTTGCTAGCTCAATTGCCTCATCCTCACTGGAGAATGTTTTCACGCAAAGAACAGGCCCGAAAACTTCTTCTCTCCAAATTTCCATTGAAGTAGTTACATCAGTTATGATGGTTGGTTCAATGAAGAAGCCCTTCTTCAGATGCTGTGAGATATATAATAGAGGTCATCATCATAGCTTGCAAGAAACTGCATCAAGGAAATGAAAGAAAGGGAGAGACATGATAGTACCTCAGGTCGGGAACCACCATGTAATATTGTGGCCCCTTCAATTTTAGCCGTTGAGATAAACTTCAAAATTTTCTCGTACTGCAACATTCACATTTGTCAGCTCATTCAGATCATATGATCAAAGAAGTTGAAATGCATCTAATAAGTGAGAACATAACAATCCTAATGAAACATGATATGGCTTTTACCTGTCCTTCGCTGACAACAGGACCAAGCCTGCATCCTTCTTCAAAGGGGTCAGAAACTTTAATGTTCTTGCACCATTTTACAAGCTTTTCTATGAATTCAGATGCGATGTTTTCCTACAATACAAAATTTAAAATTGAAATGTCTAACATAAATTACACAAGGGCCTGCAATTGTATCCAGCAGTGACTTATTCCTGTTGGCAATAACCACCAAAAGGTTTGATCTGAGATAAATATCATTGTCAGGGACCTCTATGGAAACATCTTATTGTATAACTAAGGACTATTCACTTCTCGAGCTACGGCATGTAGTTCAGGTTCACACAAAAAGCAAGCAGAAGATAATGAAACATATGGTTGGCACTTACATGAACAAGAAGGCGGGAAGTTGCACTGCAGATCTGACCATTTGTCCAGAAGCAACCGAAGAGGGCCCATTCAGCAGCTGTTCAGATCATTGGCAAGCGTCAAAACATACAAAGCTTTCATTTTAAAGCTTCACCATACAATACCAGTAATTACTTTGCGTGACACTCACCTTTATCAAGATCAACGTCATCAAACACAATGAGAGGGCTCTTCCCACCCAGTTCCATAGAAACAGGCTGCAAGAAGGCCATGAGAATGTGTCTTTTACATTGTTTGATGATGAGAAAACAAAAACTCTCAGAGTTTGAATTACCTTCACCAACTGAGCAGCAGCTGTCATGACCTTGCTTCCCGTGGCAAAACTTCCGGTAAACGCAATCTGCAAAGAAACCATGACTTCTGCATTATAGCTTCTAAGAACCACATACCTTAAACTAAATTGATGGTGTAACCCGCAGTCCTTTTAGTCAAGCTGTTATATGTTTACAAGATCAATACCTTGTCCACACTGGGATGTGCTGCCAAAGGAGCACCAGCTTCCGCACCATATCCAGTAAGAATGTTGAGGACACCAGGAGGAAGACCAACTTCTCGACAAATATCAGCAAGCTCCAAACAAGTGCTGAAGTTAAAAGAAACACAAATGAGAGCTCAAGGAAGGACCAAAGCAGAAGCATAACAAGTTAACAATGAAAAAAGAGAAAATACACAGTTACTTACACAGATGCCAGCTCTGATGGCTTGAGAACCGCAGTACATCCTGCAGCAAGTGAAGGAGCCACCTTCCAAACAGCCATCAGAAGAGGGTAATTCCTACAACATCAAACCAAGTTTAAGAGCATACGTGTCATAACAACAATCCAAAACCAGTTAACCCACCAAGAAGGAAACTGATTGTAGTTACCATGGTGTGATGAGTCCCACAACTCCAAGAGGTTGCTTGAGAACATAACTCTTAAAGTTGTCCATGGGAAGCGAAACAGGCGCTTTCTGCTTAGCATCTAACCCTTCAGCAAGGTCAGCATAAAACTCAAAACATCCAGCAACATCCTCCTGCAACACATCAAACAAAACCAACAACATCAAGATCAAAAACCCCCAAACAGAAAAATCCCAACTTTACCAAAAAAATAAGAGCAAAACAAACAGTACCATATCCCAAACTGTTTCATCCAGTGGTTTACCACTGTCAAGCGCCTCAAGCGTCGCCAGATGCGTCTTCCTTTCAGTCACCTAAACACAACAGAAACATCACATAAAACAAAAAACAGATTAAAGACCTAAAAAAACATTCTAAAAGGCTTAAAGATATCTTAACCAGTGCTCTAAAAATCCGTCTAATCAATCTTGAAAAGATTTTTCTTTTAAATTAGTACTTTGTAACACTGATCTCAAAGCAACAACATATACCTTAGCAGCAATAGCGCGAAGAAACTTAGCACGAAGAGCTCCTGGTGCTTTGGCCCAATCTTTACCTTTATTCCTTGAGAAAGCTCGTCGAGCAGCGTTGACTGCAACCTCCACATCCTCCTTTGTAGCCGCAGGGATGTCACCTAACTCACACCAACCAAGATTCAGTCAACAAGAATACAGGACGGATCAAAATCGTAACGGATCTAGGGTTTACCAATGACATCTTGTGTAGCGGGATTGACGATTGGGATGCGATTCTTCAAGATTGGCTCTCTCCATTCGCCGTCGATGAATAGCTGACGTGTAGGCATCGGAATCGTCGCCATTTTCTTTTTGTTATCTGAATCTAACTGCTTCAGTCTCTCTCTCTCTTTCTCGTTCGTTCACTGAAGATGGAGACTCGAAGTTGATGATATTGATACGTGCACGCACTTGTTTATATTTTATTTTATTTGCCTCCTCTTCTCTTCTCTTCTCTTGTGGTGCTGACACATGACGTGGTTCATTACACTCGAACTTTCTATATTTAATTAGATTTTGGCAAGGACAGTGACAGAGACTTCAACAATAACCACAAGGTCCACAACATTTAAAAGTTTGATGGCAAAGTACCAATATCAAAATCTTTGTAACTCAATTAATCACATGTTTGTTCTTCTTCTAATTAGCAGTTACATGTTTTTACAAGATTTGTTATTTTTATCGCCATCAAATAAATAATTCTGAGTTTTGATTATGCGCATTTACCATTAACTTTGTCTTTTAGATTGTTGATGCTCCGTCACTTGTCAACAAATTTTTATTTTCTTCTTATGATAAATTAACTTTCTTTCTTTTTTTTGGGCAAAATGATAAATTAACTTTCATATAAAGTTATTACTACCTTATTTCAGTTTGTTACCGAGTCTCCAATTGGAATTTGTCTGTTGTTGGTTGTTTAGCTGTCTCTGTAGTCATACTTATATTCTTAAAATGCATATCTATTATGCGTAAGTGCCCAAATCTCACATCAAAACCGAGAGAGCTTCAGAGGTTTGCTTAAATGATCTAAAGAAGATATTTAAATTAAACCCACTAAATGGCGATCACACCATTTGTGCCCATGTAAGCCGGCCCTGCACATGCCTTAATTCTTTTCACTAGAGTAATTAAAGAAGAAGGAATGAAAGAAAAGATAATAGAGAAAAGATAATAGAGAACAGAAAAAGGTGAATCCAGTGCAATATTTTACTCTAGCAAACAAAAAGCAAAAAAAAAAAAAGCACAATGATTTAATTTTTTTTAAACATTCGTAGAAGAAAAGTAAGGTAAATATGTTTATACAAAAAAGACTACATTTTGGAACTCAATCTTCAAGGAATGTGGTTTAGTTGAGTCTTGTGTTTGCTTCTTTCATTGACTTCTGAGACATTGAAACAACATATATACAGAAGCTATTTTAGTTAGTGCCTGCATAAAACTTCATGAGGAGCAGTACTGCAGTA